GAGCAGGGAGCCCGATGTGGGACTCGATCCAGGGACTCCAGGATCATAACCTGAGCCGAAGGCAGTCGCTTAACCAACTGAGCCACCCAGGCGCCCGACAGGAGATCTTGAGCTAGTGGGTCTCAAAGGTCAAAGGGTCTAAGGCTCCTTCCTCCTGGAATATTCTGGAATTCTCCCACTCACTACTTTGTGGCTCCAGACAAGCAGTTTGAGCCCTTTGGAGAGTCAGTGTTTTCACCCTTTGAGTCTGGTTTCCTAAGACCCCTATCACATATTGTTCATATGGTAGAAATTTTAGCACACACACACCGCCCCCCCAGGACAGACCAATGAGGGAAGGTTTATGGCCAAAGGAAGTCTAGCCAATCCTCAACCTAGCTTGAATAAATCCCAGCCACACTGACCACAGGCTCTGCGGGGGAGGCCCCTCTACAGCCTGGTCCTTCCTTGGAGCCTTCCTTCCCTGTTCATCCTTCCAAGGACCAGCACCTGTCCGCGACAAGCTCCAGAGAGACCCTAAGAACTCTAAAGCCATCCATGCTCTCTGCTCCCGGCTCCCCCAGCAGCCGCCTCAGCTGAGCTCAAGAGCAGCCCCGCCAGGGAAGGCGGGCAGGAAGGGCTGCTGGCTTTACTCATGAACCCACGGGTGTGCATATGTCTTTGCCAAGCTGGCCCCAGTTGATGAGAAAAGACTCCCCGGAGTGAAAGGGAGGGGAAGGAGAGCCTTCCCACCCTGATCAAGGCTACAGATCAGACTTTCCACCCTGCGCTGCACAAACTCCCTGACCTTCTGGGCCCCAGCAACCACCCCCCAACCTCAGGCCTCCCTGCACTCACTCAGAAGAGAGAGGCCTGTTTATCACTCTGGGTGGGACCCAAGACTGTGGGGAATTGAAAAGAAACAGCCCGCTTAGGTTGCTATTGTTTTGTTTAAACAAACCGCTGGCTGGGCTGACTTGGAGAGGAGTGAGGGGGAGGCTGGGAGCGCACAGCAGGCTGGGCTGGGCCGCCCTGGGCTTAGCCCCCGTCTCTAATCAGGCTAGAGCCGCCAGAGAGCCAGACAGCTATTTCGGGAGAGTGGCTGCTAGGGCTTGGGCCCTCACATCGTCTCCTGAGAGAGATGGCTATCAAGGAGAGGAGCCTCTGTTCCCCAACCCCTTTCCCCTACCCTGGTGCCCCCTGGCTTCTCAGCCTCTGGCCACAGCTGGGCCCCATGCCAACCCTAGGTAAGACAGGGCCTGACACTGGGGGAGTGGGGGCCCGTGCTGAAAGCGGACCAAAGCAGAGCTGCCACGAGCCCTGCTGTCCCAGGGACTGAATCCGAAGGCTGCCCGGATGCTTCTGAGCAGACAAGACTGCATGAGGGGGGCTGGAAGGGTGCCAGAGGACAGAGATCTCATCTGCTTGGGCTGAGGACAACCAAGTGGGAAGGGGGCCCAAGGTGGAGGGGCCCGTTCTGCAGTCTGCCCTCCCCTTCTCCCAACCAGAGGTAACCTAGACAGACAGGGACGAGCCTGGGGGAGGGGATGTTCTAGCCAAGGAGGCCCAAAGTAAGAACAGTTGGTAGACAAGCTACAGCCTAAAAGGGAAGAGATGGGGAGGGGGGGACTTCAAGAAGAGGGGGGTGGGGCTTGAATTTTGTAGAAGATAAACTGCACTAGGAGTTGGGTCACCCAGCTGACCCTGAGAGTCTCTGCAGAGAAATGAGAGGAAATCACACGGTTCCCCCTCCCAAAGCCTCATCCTGAGCGCCTCTGCCCGGGGAAGGAGAGGAGGCTGTACCGGGAGGGCTTGGTAGAAAGGTGGCCAGGGCACAGTTAGGTGTTGGCAGAACCCATGAAGAGCCATGCTAATCACCATCATTAAGGCCATAAAACCCCACACCTAGGGGCCCCCGAGCTGTGGCATGGACCCAGGGGCCTGGCTCCAGTCCCTTTCATCTGAGCATCTCCCAGTCCTGCACAAACAATAATTAGCACCCGCCCCCGGGATCGCCTCATTATCCCACAGACGCGGAGCAGAGGAGAGAAGGGAGGGGAAGCAAGAAGAGGGAAACTGAGGCCAAACAATCTGCCCAGAGGTTGTGGGCTGAGTCCATTCAAGGCTGGGGAAAAAGCTGCCTCAGAATCAGTGGTCCAGCCTCCTCCTGCCCTGCCTGCCCTTCTGGTTACTCAGGCAGCCATTGGCCTAATGTTCTGAAGGCCCCAAAGAGAGCCCCAGAGGATGGGTTGGCTTAGCAAAGCTGTGAGGATTGTCAGCCCCTGCCTTAGATCTGACCAGACCCCACAGGCAGAGACTTGTGTCCCATGCCCAGTCTAGGGGCGCAGATGATGGGAGTGGAGCCGCCCTTCCAGAAACGTCCCCTCGCTCTCTCCAGTAGTCGGGGGGTCCACCTCTCACCCCCGGGCTACCGTCAGCAATGCCTGTGTCTGTCCTCTCTCCCTGGACCCCCTAAGGCACCATTCAAAACCCCAGAGCCTGTTCTGGCCACCTGTCCCAGGAGCAGACATACCCGTTCCTACTCTTCTATCTTACTCCCTCAGGGGGAGAAAGAAGTCAGCAAAACCCACTTGGACTGAAGTGTGGTGGTGTGGACTTCTGCTGCCCCAGGAGTAACCCACCCCTGTGCCTGTCTCTCATTGCAGGGTGCTGATATAAAGAAAGGGAAGGTCCAGGGCCAGGAGTTGTCACGTGAGTACGACCCTCCCACACCCCTCGCCCCAGCCAGGGCAACGACATGACCACAAGAACCGTAACAATGCAACTTAATGTTGAGACTTAGTGGTGTGAAAGTGCCCACCGACCCAGGAGTTTACTCTTCCTCGATAATTTAATTTAATCGTCACAATGGCCTTTGGAGGCCGCTGCCGCCAATATCTCCATTTGAAAGAGAATGAAAGCCAGGTGTGACCCACGTGTCCCTCAGCTCCCCAGGAGTAAGGGGTGGGGCCAGCATTAAATGCAGGGGTCTGCTCTCCTGGAGGGACTGGCACGGTCATTCCCTTCCCTCGGCCTGCCTCCGCGTGTTCCCCTGCACCCGGTGCCACCATGTGCTTGCATGGGTCCCTTTTCTCTGATGTCCTCCCCTTCCCACCCCTTTCACCCCCAGCTCCACTCCTCCCCTCCCCCTCAGACCCCCCTGCAAGAGCATGCCCTCCACGCAACTTGAAGGGAATGCTCAGGTGGAACGCTCAGGTGAGGATCCGGCCTCCGAAGAGGGCTGAGCAAAAAGACAAATGAGCCTCATAGTTCCATGACGCAACGTGGGGTCAGACATCAGATAGGCCTGGATTCAAATCCCAGCTTCACCACTTCCTGTCGGCCTGACTTCACCTCTCAGAGCCTCATTTCGTCATCCAGAAAATGGGGATAACACTCATCTGACCAGGTTGTGGTGAGGATTAAGGAGATGTCACAAGGGAAAGCACGTAGCCAGGGCCTGGCACCAAGAAGTGGCTCCACATGTGTGTATCCCTTCCCTTCCACCTCGCAACCCCTCGTCTCTACATTTGGAGGGGGAATTCTTCAGGAAAGCCCTAGAGAGAGGGGTCAGGCCTCCATCTCCCATGAGGATAAACCCCCAGCTGCGTAGAACCGGTGAGTTCCAACTGCAGCCTTCTGCAGACGCAATCACGGACACCAGCTCTTTGGCGGTGTGCAACGTGCCCCCCTCAACTGTACTTGGCAGCCCACGCACCCACCAGCCTTGCCAAAAGCTGACCCGGCCGTCTCTGCCCTCCACACGCCATGCACGTGAAGACACACTCCAGCACCCACCTATGCTCAGAAGTCTTCCTCAGCGTTGGCAGTGTTTGTGAAGAAAACAATGACTTACCCACATTTGCACACACACTGACAGAGCCCCTGCAAAACAGCCCCGGCGAACACGCTCACCAGCGCTTCCGACACCTGCACCTGCACCAGTGTGGACCCCAAGTCATACAGACTCACATGGCTCCCGGCATACCCTGTGCAGTGCTCACCCTGAACGCAGGCACGTGTGCACGCATGCACACACACACACACACACACACACACGGATACCAGATCTGCAATCAAAAAGTCAGGGAGAGATGAATAGTCAGGAATTCCCCTGGCTGTGAGCATGCTGGAGGCCCCAGTGGCTGGAAGTACACCATGAGGAACATTTCCAACAGCTCCAAATAGCGGATGGCTCTTGTCTAATGACCAGGAGAGGGAGGGGGCCGTAAAGTACCAACACTCCCTCCCACCAGCATCCTCACTGCAAACACTCCATCCCCACCCACCCCCAGGAAGATTCCTGGCTCTTTAGAAGGTGGGGGAAAGGAGGAGAGCAATGGGGAGGGGGCAGAGGCACAGAGTTTGGAAGGAGGCCCAACTGGAACCAACCGCAAAAGTCTGGCCCACAAAACCCCTGCATAGACTTGGGGAAAGAATGAGAGATGTCGCCACCCGAGCTCCCCCCTGCCCCAGAAAAAGATCTGCCTCCTGCACAGAGGGCAAAAGGGAGGGAGATGGGCCTTCTCCTCCGGAAGAGCCTGAGTGGGCTCCCGGTGCCCGGAGCACCCAGATCCATCACTTCCATGATCAAACCTTTGAACCGAGTCCCACCCACCCCCGTAACCACTTCCAGATCCTCCGGATCCAGCCAAAAAATTGGCTTCTTTGGGAATTGAGTTCATAAGGAAATGCTGAAAAAATAAATAAAAATCCACTGCCAAACACTCTCAGAGAGGAAGATGAGTTTCTCTTGAGGCAGGAAATCCATCAGGATAGACTAAAGCAGCAAAGGGATAACACCAATACCCGCTGGCCAAGAGAGGCCCCGGGGAGTCCCACCGGCACCCACGACCCTCAAGCATCCCACACCTCCTCCTCCCCGCACTTTCCCAAACGAAGGTGCTTCCTAAAGGCAGCTGCCGAAGCTGAGATCCTGCCAAAGATAAATCCTAATGGTTTGCGATGGGTAAGCCCCCAGCTGGGACCCCGGGGTGGGGGGCGGACCATGAATGGCACAAAGAATTCTCTTTTCCTCTGGCCCAGGGTAGCCAGGAAGTTGTGGGTACTGTGGGTTGGGGGCCCACACTCTGTCCCTCTTCTGCCCCCAGCCTACCAGCCTCCGTCCCCACCAGCAAAAAGTGGCTTTCACCGCTACCAGTTCTTCGTCTATCTTCAGGAAAGACAGAACATCTCTCTCCATTCCAAAGAAAACAAAACTCGAGGTAAGGCCTTCCCATCTGCCAAAGCCAGTGTGAATTCTGGGACGGAAGTGGATGCTTGTGCATTCATGGCGAGGTTGGGACCTTGACCCCTACCCGTGAGCCTTGGAGGCCAGAGTCAGAGGGTGGCCTTTCTTGGCAGTAGACTGAAATGAGGTGTCCTAAGGGAGATGTTGGCATCAGATGTGGTCTCCCCCCGAGAAGTAAGTCCCACAGACCAAGATGGTGGCTCTCACTGGGTGGGTGGGTCTGTGAGGCCGGGTCCCAAAGGGAGTAACTGGAGCCAGGGAGAGAAGCATTTCCCCAACTCAGCTTCGGATGGCATGTGCAGGCAGCTACCCCACAGCACTCCTGCACGTAATTGTACCCTATAATTGAGTCCAATCTGGGCAAGAGGGCCCTGGAATGCCACCCCGCCAGTCTGTCTTCATTGGTTGTTAATTGCTCTGTCTGCCCAGTTCTACCTCAGTGGTGGGGCAAAAACTTCCCCGCCATGCCCCTTCCACGAGCTTCTCTGAGCAGCCATTCTGGCATCCTGGAGAGGATCCACTCCCTGTAGCTTGCTAATGGCTACCTGATGGTGGCCTTGGTCCCGCTCCCACCAGAGCTGGGGAGTGGGAAGACCCGTGAACATCTGGCCACTGCAAGGCCTCAGGCGACTCACCTGCTCCTATGTGAGCCATGGCCCCCTCTCTGAGCCTTGGCTTTCTCTCCAGAAAAATGGGAAATAAAGTAACCCCTGTGTACTCTAGCATCTCCCCCATTTGGGGCAAGGGAAGATAATGTGGAACCCACGGATGCCATCTTGAGAGTGCAGACGGCACATCCCCCGGGCTGGCAGGAGGCTGAGTGGGTGGGTAGGTGTCATCAGCCGTTTGCTCTCACCCAGTGACCCTGACCAACTTCCACCCACTGGGAAGCCGGGGAAGGTATTGTTACAAGCCTGTTGCCCAAGGCCCCAGAGGAGAGGAACGCGGAGCCCGGAAAGGCACTGGCTGAGCGAAGGAGGCCTTCAGGTGTGCCGAGCAGAAGCCACCAATGGCAGAAGGCTCTGGGCCGCCGTGCAAGCGGAGTTGGTGCAACCTTTCCACTGGTGAACCCTCCCCAGATGCCCTCAGCACCTTGCCAATCTGTACATCTGCTTAAACCGCTTTCCCAAAGACACACTTTCAAATCTGGGTACAAGGAGAGAAGGCAGAGAAACATGTATCTTGCCCGAGCCAAGATGAATTTCTCCAGTCCCCTGGCTCCCTCTCACCTCAGACATCCTGAGCCCCCTTCCACCAGTCCAGGCACTGCGCTTTCTGGGGGCTGGGGACTAGCGCCTCAGCCCACCACGTTCCCCCCACAAAGTAAGGCAGCTCCTCGGAGTCCCACGTTAGTCCCATAGTCACAGAGCCCACACCCTGGGCAGGGAGGGAGGCGGGGATCGTGCTCAGACTGTCCCCTGCAAGAGCCTCCCGCAGGATCAAGCGCCTTCTGAGGGGCGGGGTGGCCGGGAAAGGAGAGAGCAGGAGGTGAAGCCCGGAGGAGCATGAAAGGGGCGAAGGAAGAAGGGAGGTGCATGCGGCAGAGACACTTGCCCCTGCCTTGGCTGCAGTCCTCGTGTTTGGTCCTAGCCCGCCCTCCAGAAAACACAGTGGCTTGTGTGCCCCAGCAGGCGCGGAGGCTCAAAACCCATCCAGCCTGACAGCCATTGTCAGTCACTTTGAATCTCTGCCCAAGCCAGCTTGTTGTGCATCCCCCCAACAAACACACACATACACACACCTCTCATCCACGTGAAAACTTAGGAACAGGACTTGCTTCTGGGCAGAGCCCCTCGACTTCCGTGCCATTTTGCTTGCTGCCAGAAATGGAGGTGGGAAAATGATCTTCCCAGATGAACTAACTCTCCAGCCCAGGGGGCCAGGGGCTGGTCCCACCATATGACACCTTCTGGTGCCTGGCACTCCTAGCTAGGGGCTTAGGAGAGGAGCCGATCCCACAGCACAGGGAATGTTTCCTGCCCTCAGGGGGCTTATAGTCTACTTTGAAAACACTTAAGTAACAATGCAAAGCAGCTTGTAATTAAGCACTTAATTGTGTGTTTCTGGCTGTAAGGACAACTGGTGATCAAGTGGATTTAGGGATTGTGTGTACAGTTCCTAGGATTCCCTTACCTCCAAGAAGACACACCTTCTCTAGCCAGGAAGATTGCAAAGGTATTTTACTGCAGGGTGAGGATATCTGTATTTCCAGTCTCCAGCTAGTGATTTGATGTTTGGACAAATCAGCTACCCTCTCTGAGCCTCAGTTTCCCCATCTAGAAAATGAGGGGTTGGATCTAGATGATCTACAAGTCTGTATGGCCCTGAGGCTACGTGGAAGAGGTGTGGCCTGGGCTGGGCCCGGGAGAAGGAGGACATTTGAATCCTTGAGTGAAAGAGAGAGGAAACTCCGGACTAGAGAAACCACAGACGCCAAGATTATTTTTTTAAAAGTGAGAAGGAGCACCCCTTGTGAGGAGCGGTGAGGGCATGAAAGGAGAAAGGGGGAAGGTCGCTGAAGGTTCGTGAAAGCCCAGCAGAGGCACAACCTTGGCGGGCGCCATGAAGCACCGTTAGACATTGCCCACGGGAGAGGCAACACACCGAAGCCGCTCTTTAGAGATGACTAAGCTGGCGCGGTGGGCAGGACTGGGAGGAGGAAGAGCCCAGGGGCCGCCCGAGGGGTAGAGACGTGTGCCTGGGTGGCGCCGGGGGGGGCCATGGCAAAATCAGGAGCTGCCCTTGCGCGTTGTCAGAGCTCCTGGCGCTCTCTGAAGCACCTGCACCGTGTGTGGGGACCCATGGAGCCCCCAGCTGCCCAGCCCTTGGGAGGCCGGGACCTGGAGCCAAGGAACACAGGCCCGAGGGCTTACTTTGGTCTAGTTTTTGTCCCATGGGAAGGTATCCTTGGAGAGGCAGTGGAGTCCTAGGGTATGCATGGTACAACCAGCCCCTTGTGTTTCCTGGATGCGCAGGCAGGAACGGATTCCAGAGACTGGAGGGGAAAGTCACTATCAAGAGCCAGGTAGAGAGGCAGCCATGAAGGATAGTTGACTTGAGCCGTTCCTATTGGGTCCTTCCCTCCCTAGGACTTAGGTGTGAATGACAGTTTAGGATGAGAAGCAAGTGTGAATTATTCTAGTTGAACTTGTAAGACCATGGGGGCTAGGGAACACTGCTCAGTGTGGGGAGCTGAAACCCTCTCCAGATGGGAGATCTTGATATATCCATTGTGTGACCTTGGACCAGCCACCTCACATCTCTGGGCCTCAATTTCTACATCATCAAGATAACGGGTTGGACTAGTTGGTCTACCACGGAATGACCCTTTACAGATTTGCTCCCAGCTTACGGAGTTGCCCCCACCTCCGAGTTCTGTGAGACGAGTGTAGGGAGCAAAAGTGATCAGACTTGACTAGCCCAGCCAATTCCACTCGCTTCGGGGGGGAGGCCTTCCATCAGATACCAGTCTGCCAGGACCACAGCGAGGGCCCTAGAAGGGGATTTGGAGCCACCTTGCTTCTAGTTGATGAAATCTGCCTTCCCCACTCCTCCCGCCTTTACACAGCTCCTTCCTCTCCCTGCCATTTTCCCCACTTGCTGGGCATGATGCACAAATGCCCTCTGCGTTCGTTGGGATGATGCCGAGTATGTGTGAGGCAGGGTTCTAGGTGCTGCGGGCACAGAAGTGAGCCACGTGGACCCGGTCCCTGCTCCCATGGATGGATGCTGTCACCCGGTGTAGCTCTGTGGATCATGGGAGCTCACAGAGCGAGTGGAGGGAGATATTCAAATAGCTCAAGCTGACCACATCCTACACAGGGAACAACGGTGAAGCTGGAAGAGCCCGCACTAGTGCCCTCTGACCAGGGCTGGCCCAGTTTCACTGACATTTGTCCCAAAGGCCACACCTCACCTTCCCAAATGTGGGCCTGCAACACAGTGGACTTGCACCTCTGCCTCCAACCCCTCTCTCCCAGCTCTAATACCTCCCCTGTCCCCCCACCTTCTATGCCCAAGGCCCAGAATCTGGCCTCCGGGCTCATCTGTGATTCACGATGGTTCACCCCTGCATCTTCCTCACAGCAGCCTTGGATTCGGCATCTAGACTTCTACATTGTAGAGGAACCAACGGAATGGGTTGAGGGGACGTGTCTGAAGAGGGCCCGCACACACAGGGCTGGCTCCCACCTCATCCCGTGCACCCTTCCATACCACATGCTGCCAGACATCCGCTAACTCCCGCTGACCTAGTTCACGTCACTGCCCCCCACGCTCCCCCAGCGACTGATTTGCCTCTGCCTGCTGACTGGGCAGACCATTTCTCCCCCTCCCCAAGCCCGAGGGCCCTGCCCACCTGCAGAACACCAGTCCTGCTGACGGCCCCGGGACGCTTTCCCACAGGGCGGTGTCTTCTCTGCGTGCACTTGACCCAGCCCTCCCCTGCTGCTGTCCCTCTCCATGCACTCAGTGACACTTTGTTGTGCCTCCTCAGTCACTCACTTTTATCCCTTTGTATTAGCCAATCATTTTTCACTCGCACGGGCCCTACTTCCACCGTGAGACTCAATTCCTTGAGGGAGAAGCTCACCTGTGCCGTGGATTTCCTCTTTACCACCTGTCCTTGTGCTCAGCCCACTGTGAGCTTTCAGTCAATGAGGATGTTTGTGTATGGGACACACCCACGTATGCACATTCACAAGCCACACACACACACAGCTGCACATTCTCACACCCCCATATTCAACTCATCATCAACTTCCTTTAACACCTGAAAAGACAGCCACCTCTGTGAGTGCCGTGCCCACAAATGACAATTTTGGCATCCACATCCTCCCTGTCCCAACGCCGAGGGCAGGGAGGGAGGCGGGGATCGTGCGGCCGGGCAGGACCACTTGCATCCAGCCTCTCTACCAGCCTGCCCTGCCTCTCCCTGGCCTTCCCCTCACCCAGCTGCTGGACCCTGTGG